TGAAAAATGTACATTCAGTAAAAATTCTTTAAATTTCTTAGGCTTTAAATTAACAGAATTAGGAATCGAACCTCTACCCGATCGCGTACAATGCATATTAGAATTCCCTCAACCTTCCAATTTAACACAACTTCGCAGATTTTTAGGCATGTTTAATTTCTATCGCAGATTTATCCCAAAAGCCGCTGATATCCTTAATCCTTTAATACAATTTTTAGAAGGAAATAAAAAGAAAAATCATTCTAAGGTCAAAAATGAGCCATTAAAATGGAATGAAAACGCAGAAAAATCCTTCTTAAAGGCAAAGGAAGCAATCGCGCAGGCAACCCTCTTAAAACACCCTATTCCTGGTGCAAACTTAAGCTTATGGGTCGACGCATCGGATTTTGCAATAGGGGGTTCATTAATGCAACTTTCAGAGGGGAAATGGGAGCCTTTAGCTTTTTACTCGATGAAATTAAATAATTCTCAAAAAAAATGGTCAACCTATGACCGCGAGTTATTTTCTATTTATTCGGCAATAAAAAAATTCAAACACATGTTAGAGGGCAGAGAATTTCAAATATATACTGATCAAAAACCACTAATCTATGCATTCAAACAAAATCCGGATAAATGTTCCCCAAGACAACTACGCCATTTAGATTTTATATCTCAATATTCAACTGACCTTAGACATGTACAGGGACCCGAAAATATAGTAGCCGACACACTTTCGCGTATAGAATTAGATTCAATTACTAAATCGAATTTTCTGAATTTTCACGATCTGGCGAAGGCTCAACAAACTGATGCAGAAATTCAAGATATTATTCAAAATAAAAATTCTTCTCTTCATCTTGAACTCAAACCATGTCAAAATACAGACATTGACTTAATATGCGACAATTCAAATGGTTCAGGAAACCTGTAAAAATATTAAAATATCAGAAGCTTATAAAAGACAACAACTAATTTAGAATACAGAAGATGCAATTTAATGCAACGTTAGCAGGTGAGGAATCTAAACTGAAACTTCCCGAATGAAGAGGAGAAGTCCTGATTCGCTTGCGTGATACGATAGTTCGTACACATAGTCTCGAATGGCAAAATACACCACACATACATAAATGTTTGACCACAAATATTTCAATGGAAACATTTAATAACTATTTTTAAAAGGATCTCTTTTTAGTTTTTCTACACTTAAATAATTTTGCCAATTTTACTCTACTCATTTTAGAATATATATAATTGTACAAAAATAAAAAAAACATTAAACCGAATTGCTTCAAAAAATTTTATCACTGAAAAAATATTGTAGTCAAATTACAATTGCCAAGGCATCAGAATGTTTGTGTTTGTAAAAATTAAAATAAGTAATTATTTGTCTGAGGGTTAATAGGAATTAATTTTTTACTTAGATTCATTCCATGATATTTTTTTTTTAAAGTTTCTCCCCAATAACTGCCTGGTTATCATCACATTTTGATAATTTTTAGTTTAAACATTGATACAGAAATCCTCCCACTTTATGAAAAAAATTATCAGTTAAAAAAAAAAATATTAAGATAATATGTAACAGATATGAAGATGATCTGCATAGTAACAGCAGAAATATTATCTTTACAACATAATGAAACAGTTTTTTTTAAAGTGTTTAAAAAGATTTTAATTTTCTCAAAAAAATAATGAATTGTACTTCCATTTCTCTAATGCATGTAAATTCTGTGATTTTTTTTAAATTTGTAAAAAGTTAAGAAACAAAGAATTTAGTTGAACCTGGACACCGTTGGCAACTTTATGGGGAAGTTTTCGTTTCGTGATCTGCGGCAGAATAATCGCCAAGTCTTGGCAACGGCTTGCGAGGAACTAAAGTAAACATCGCAGAAAGGGAAAAACTCAAAAGGTATAACTCGTAGCCACCCCGGGAAAACATCTACAAGTTTTTTATTTTTTTAAATTTGCAAGTTTAAAATCTATTTGTCACCTCGGCGATTGTAGCTGGCACGACAGATCACAATACGGAAATTCCCGCCTCTATCACCTGCGAAAGGGAAAAGTACAAATGCACCTTATAAATTTAATAGTAGTCTTCAATAAACAAAAGAAACTGGGATGTCTGTAGCAATCATTAAAGTTTTGGTAAGTGTGTAGATTAGGGTGCTCCATAGATTGGGTTCTGAAACTTGGAGGTTTTACTGTATATAAAATCATCGATTTTCTTAGCATTTTAACCACGGTTTAATATTAATAGAAGGTCTCACTTTCAGTAATCTTCCTCGATTTTTGCATACTGAAATAACAAGGGCGGCACCCTTTTGCAAATTTTTATCGAAGTTTAATTAATTTTAAAATACAATCACACGCTTCAAAACTAGTGTAAATGAACTAAACTATAAAGAGATGCACATTAAAGGTAAATCAATGCTAATAAGATAACAAAGTTAATTACAGGAAACAAAACGTACCAGTGAGTGCAAATACAAATAAAATGAAGGCGGTAATGCTACCATAATACCAGTAAATGACAAATATCACAAAGACAGCAGCACTGCACATCATCCAGCATTTTTTTAAAAAGAATAATACTAAGTTACTAATAAACTTGATTTCTCTAAATCCAGTTAATTTATCATTAGTCTGTTCTGTTGTTATATCAATAGACGTGGCTTTAGTTACATGAGATGGCGGGTCTAATTTTTCATATTTAGCTGCAAGAACATTTTTATTATGAACAGCATTTTCCATAAAAGATTTAATTTTTGCCATAATTAATAAATTATCTATAATTTCATTTGATCATGCTATTAATGTCTCTCCGAAGTAAACATTGAGAAACCAAAACAAACTTAAGCTGTTGCAGTTACAGATAAATATTATATGGATGATGTTTTCAATATAAATGTAAACAGTTCTACTCAGTGACCTGCTCTACTTCCGGTTTGAAAGTATACAGCTGCTTACTGTAGCTTATTCTGCGAGGCGATATTTTCAAATGGATAGTTTTGTTTTTAATGAAAGGAATAAATTACATAATTTCTAAGCTCAAATCTGCAGCATTTCATACGATACTAATGATATTAAGAAATTTTGGTGAGTTTGAAGTGAAAATGTGTTTTAGTTATTTATAGATGCATTGTTAAAAAGCATGATGCTCGATTTTGAACTTGCTTTCTTGGGTACCGATTCCGACCTTTTTTTTACTTGTTTACTACTGTTCTTGTTACAAGCACCATCATACATTAAAGTGGCTTCATACCGAACACAACAGCGATGCGAAATACTATTTCGCTTCTTTGTTGCAGTGTGCCTGTTGCAAGTACCTATTGACCTGCAATGTGACAACAAACCTGTTTCCTGTCTAGCATAAGAGCAGGCACACTTTTCTTCTGTATCTCGTTTTTGTTTCATAGCTCATTTTATTGTTTTCTTTATTTGCATTATTAATTTTTTTATTTATGTTTTCATTTTTTATATTTATATTAGCAGCTTGTAATTTATATTATTATTTGATTGTATTATACGATCCCTCAAAATTTGTCAAAAAAAAAAAAAAAAAAAAAAAAAAAAAAAAAAAAAAAAAAAAANAAAAAAAAAAAAAAAAAAAAAAACTTTACGTCACATTTTTACAAAATATTGTATCAATAATTTCTACAAAATTATTTATTTATCTATTTTTTAGTTCTGTTTTATAGTATTTCCTCACATTTGTATTAATTTTGTAGTCTTTTTATAGAAAGAAAATGGATATTTTTCTGCCTAATTTTTTTCCTTATATAAGATGTATCTTTACTTTATTTAAAAAATTTAATGAATGGAATATGAAATAATTCAAATAAAAAAGTTAGAAAAATGCTGAACTGAAATTATTTTACTCTATCAACACTTTTACTTTATCAACACTTACAAATCTTGCTAAGAATTCGCGATCGCAACACTTGAATACACCATCTGGGGAGAGACCGGTTTCATGCTTTTAGCCCTTCTCCCTTCCCTCTCCTCCTCTTTTCAGTTGTATAGGAATGTACTACGATATTTNAAAGATAGAACAGCAACGATGAATAAATACTTACTTACTAACCTTCTGAATAAGATGTCTTGTATTAAAGCGATGAAACAACACTTCAATGGTGACCCGGACGTGATCATCTTTATATCGTGAGTTTTCCGGAATGTTAGGAACAAGCCGAATTCGTACGACAGCATACCATCCCATTTCAAATGGCATTGTGGAAAGGGATGGTATGCTGTCGTACGAATTCGGCTTGTTCCTAACATTCCGGAAAACTCACGATATAAAGATGATCGCATCTGAGAACCTTGATCTGTTGTAATTATCGAAGGGCATCCAAATCGAGATATCCAAGTGTGGAAAATTGCACGACAGATGGTTTTGGCTTGCATGTCCACAATCGGTATNTGTGTATAATATTCAGAGTATTACTGACATACTAAATTTGCAACTTTACATTTTATGTACAAGTGTTAAAAAGAATTTTATTTTCATATACAAATAACTCAATATAGTTTTTTCTTACATTTGCAAGTTTATATGAATTTATGTGATTAATATTTCACAGTGCAGAATTTCCGAGTGTTACACAACCTTTACTCTGAATTTTAAAATGGGTACTTTTAATTATTTTGTGAACCTTTAATCTATGACCATTAGATACTACTTTATGAGAAGTATAGAATCGTGAGGTTTTCTTTTATCATTTATGCCATACTTTTTCTTGTCGAAAATCGTAAAAAAAAAAAGAAATAAAAAGGGATATACGTTTTAAATATGCGATGCCTCTTTCCTGTTGAATGGCACTGTCCAGATAAAGCTGGGACATAGTCTGACATGACCACTAGTAGCAATATTCCATAACACCCCAAGTCGAAATTCCTAGAAATCGGTTACAGTATCTCACCTACCAACAATAGGCACATGATGACAACATAGCCTATGGCATAACAGAAAAACAAAATCCAAACACGAAAAATTCCAAACATATTCCTAATTTTCTTTGTTTTTTTAAACTCCCGAAAGTTTCTCAGTGTAGGAAGGTCATAGTATTAATTTGTTGCTATAAAAAACATTTCAGAGGAAAAAAAAAGGAATTTTTTTCATCATTTCCATAAATACCCAGTTTCATCCGATCAGAATTTTCGTAAACTTTTTTGTATAATTTTTATGTACAGAATTCATCTAAGACTTGCCAAAACTTTTTCTTCAAAATTTTAGTTTTCGTAATAATATCTCATTTATGATCACCTAATAAACCAGTAGCACTGAAATGAAAATATTTTTTACAATTATAATTATCTTCAGTTTCAAGAAAATTAAAAAAATTTATCTTTTTTTTCTCAAGCGTTTGCTTTTTATTTCTTAATGAAGCATAATAGTTTCTCAAAAAATTTTTCTAATAAAACAAACACTAATTTTTAAGAATAACTGCTTTTAAATTATGGTAGATAAAAAATAAAATTTGTTCTTCATGAAAAAAATGTCATGCAGTGGACTGATCGTTAAGACGCGGCTCCCAGCTGATCACCGAAGTCAAGCATCACTGGCTGCGGTCAGTGTGCGGGTGGGTGACCACTTGGATCAGTCTACGTAGAGACCGAGGGTGTGCGGTATTGGTCCTCGTGAAACTGTTCTACCGTAAAGTGCTCGACTTTGAGTGCAGGTAGTCGGGCTACTGAAGCGGGGGTGTCATCCTCTCCGCAGAGGATCACAATTGTGATGGCGTGTCTTCGGGTTATCCTCAGGGATGTTTCCCAGACCATCGCCAATAGTCCATTGCGCAGCTCTAGTGCGACGTAAATGAACTACAACAACAAAATCATGAAAAAAATATATAATTAATATAAAAAACAGCTTTTAGCAACACTTCATACCTTTTCCTAATTTCGCGGAACATTTCATTTTTTAATGATATCAAGAATAATGCATTAATATTAATGTTATATTCTTGGATTAATAAAATCAATTTAAAGTTATCTTAATTAGTATAATTAATTTAAATAACTTTTTTTTTGTAAGTCTAAATTACCAAGTTAAAATTGCTTTTAGGCTCTTGATCTGTTAGAATTTATAAATCGAATAAATATCAAGTATAAATTTCGCGTAAATGTAAACACAAATCCCAATAATAAAACATCAGAGAATTATTTCCTCCCCCCCCTTAAAATTCAAGTTATTATCATTATTATTATTATTATTTTTTGCACTGGACAATAAAATGTTAGTTCTGTCCAAACAGTATGATTGTGTGGTTTCATTGGAATACTTTAGCTTCCACTCGTAACTAAATTATAATATTGGCGTTGTTTTGCACCGTCTCTCGTTTGAGCAGTTTTTGTAATTTTGTCAGAAATTGTTATGAATATAATTAATTTAGTGACCTTTTCTCTTCGTCTGCTATCGCTTTTTCGTGAGACAGTAACAGACTAGTGGTTCACCGATCGCTCTTCGTCCATACCCATACATTGTATAGTGATAATCGCTCATGTAGACGCCTTCTATCACCCTTTAAATTTCCACCCACGAGTTTTAAAACAACATGTATACAGTAAAAGTCCGTTATAACGACTATTCACAATAGCCGATGGAATTGCCGTTAACACAGCCACTGGCGTCGGAACCATAGGGGTCAGAGGGATCCGGACCCCCCCAATAATTGGGAAGCCAGGATTCATTATTTTGAGAAAATATTTCCGTTTTGTTTCCATAACTTTCAATTTCGCTCTCTCTTATTTTTACAAAGCGCAACTTATTATATTATATAATTAAAAGAAAATTAGTAAAAAATAAAATACACACAGAAAAATGCACTGTCTGAAAAAATTAAACAGGTGTTTAGAGAACTACAAGAAATGTCACAGCCACCCTTCCCTTAAAACACTCTTCCCACCATTCCTTTCTTCTCACTGTTAACTGATAAAGACGATTCTCCCTCAACATAACACATAGTCATTTGATACCCAAAAATAGCGGCCTTAGTTTAGGATACTTTTGTCCTCTTTTTTAAAATGTCAAATATCAACAGACCCCTACCTATTCATAAATTGTCTGAAACAGGCAATTATCTAGAATTTCTAGGGGGGATTTCAGTAGGGGGAGATTCTCGTAGACATCTTCTATTTTTTTGGTGGTTTTGTTAAGAAAATTTCTCTGAAATAGAATCATTCTAAATCTTCTCTTACGTATAAGCGCTCACAGTGTTATTCCATCATTATTTAAACTAGACATTTCCAGTCAGTTCGAAATTTTGATAAATATCAGTAGTAATTCTGTTTACTTTTATATTTTGTTTCATTAATTGCTTTAACTTAAAAATTATTAGTTGTTATTTTTTTAAATAAAGTTTATTTAAAGTTTTTATAATAATGCTTATCGTTGGATAATAAGAAGTCATTAAATAAATTCTGGGGAGGTAAGAAAATGTTTGTATTAAATCACTTACTAATACATTTATCATTATATGTTTGCAAGAATTGTTTTATAGTTTGTATATTAAATTTATTTATACAGTACATCATTTCATGGTTTTACTGTTCATTGCGCATGAATTTATTTTGAACGCACGGAGCTACTTTTTATTTATATTTGTAAAATCAATGTAACTTTTTAATTTTTAAAATTATAAATCGAAACTTAGAATTTTAATGACCTTTCTATAACTTTGTTTTCATTCAGAAATTTAATGTCACGTTTATGTTTATAAGGACATTTATAAAATTAATAAAAAAATTTAATTAAAAAAAATTATATAAACATTGATTATTTATGTTCAAATATAAATAATTATCACTAACTTGCGTTTTAATTAATTAAAACAATGAAGAATTACTTTAAATGCAAAAGTTTCCTAAAAAAATTCATATAATTTTATTACGGTAAAAAAAAACTAATAAAAATATTTTTTTTAGAA